CTTATAAGGCACTTTTGAAACTAATATTATGGGGTATTGGACCTCCCCTCTTGTGGGACCAGATGCATATATCTGATTGCATATATCAATCAGATATATGCAAACTCGGAGCTGCTACTGCTAATACCAATCTAACTAGCCATTCAGGCAGCTCTGTTGTTAAAGGTTTGCAAGCTTGTGTTCAACATTCTTTTGCTTTATTGGCTGGATCAATCAACAGCTCTAAAAATAGAATGATTTTTGATATCTCTTGCTCTAATTGCAATTTAACCTCATGTGTGGACAATTACATACATGGCAGCCTACTTAGAGTAAAACAAAGCCCCTATATCTTGGTACCTACAAATTTCATGGGACCATGATATCATGATAGAGGACTACAAGTTGTCAAAGAAATAAAATCATTATTACCAAGAGAAAAAAGATGTGTAGGGCTTTTGGTAGCAGGCATTGTGGCAGCCATCACTGCTATTGCCACCATGGCTACCACTGCAGTAGCCCTCTCCCAAAGCATTCAAAATGCTCATTACGTTATTACCTTGACACAAAATGCCAGTTATGCCTTTCAATAACAAGTTGCTATAGATGAAAAAATTGATATCCGCTTATATTCTCTAGAAGCTGCTTTGCTGGCTATGGGAGATGAAGTTCAAATGCTGAAATTCCATCAAGATTCACTGTGCCATGCAGGCTTCCAACACATTTGTGTCACTGCAGCACCTACAATGCCACGGACTTCCCATGGAAAACTCGTTAAAGCACATGTCATGGGAGCCTGGGAAAATAACAATGATTCCCTTAACCTACAAGCCTTAAGATGGCAAATTTTAGCCATGCATTGAGCACACGATCCAGTGGCTGCTTCTGCAGATATAGCAAAAACTATTTTAGATGAATTGCAAGGATTTAACCCTTCTAATACTCTGAAATATTCATTCTGGTATTTCATTGGCATTGTATTATTAATGATTTGTTGTTTTTGCTTACTTTCAGTTGGAGCTCGAAAGATCAAAAGGTGACTCTTCGGATTAAACATAGAAATCCATCAGGAGCTTTTAAGAAATAGAGTAGGGGGAGATGTTGGAGACCAGGCATGAAACCTGGACTGGGAAATAATGGAGTTGCACAGCCTCTCCATGGTATGAGTTTGCACAGCCTCTCCTACCAAATTTTTCCCAGTACCTGATGTCTTGACCTTTGTTCTCACATCTCCTTGAAGAATACAACCTGCTGTGTCCACATACCAGCCCCCGATGCAAAACTAGGTAAAGTACCAGAACTGTTAGGAGACTCCCTGATGCCAGATTAATCACTACCTTAGATAAGGTGTCCTGCTTGCCTTGATGATTCCAGAACTGATGTGTCGTAATTAAACTTCATTAGCCTTAGGAAAATTAGCCCACCAAACCTCATTCCTTTTACCTTGAATCAAAGAATTGTTAAAGCTTGCTTTTACCTGAGTCTTTTCCTTGTACTGATCTATAAAATAACCACTCTGGCTCAGATAGGTGCTCATGTTTCCCACCAGGAACGTGCAGCCCTCGCATCCCCAGGTTTTCTGTTTTATGTCTATATGTCTGCGTGTGTCTTATTTCTCATTCCCTGCCGCTCTTAGGTTCACGAAGCATACCCACGCAGGTCAGGGGCAATCATAAATCCCACAACTAAGAGTGATTAGTTCAGCTAAGAGTGAAACCTAGCCACCCAGGAGTCCCCCAGAGATAAAGATACAACAGAGCTTTTCCAGCCAAGCTGTAAATCAACTCATCTTGAAGCTGACCGACCTCAGAATCTACAAGAAACAGCACATCTGGAGATGCAGGAAGTTAGTCTCTGGGTAGTACCACAGGGATGAATGAAGTCATTTATCACTTGATCTGCTCAAGATTTAAATCCCAAGGAAACAGTGTCTGATTGGCCCAGATTCAGGTAATGTGTTCTACCCAGGAATCAAGAATGGAGTCAGTCCACTTACTCACAGACACCGAGAGTGCAGATACAGCTATTTTGCCAATGTAAAATTGTGCTCTGTTACTAAATAAAGGGGACGTTAAAGCTGGGTAAAGAGCAGTAGCACAGTTCACTATAATCAGAATGGCGAGAATGCCAAGATGGACAAGAGTATCAGGAAGCGTTCATTCTAGCATTGTATGAAAATTTTGAAACATTTAAAATATGGGTTTAGAGGCACCTTCTCTTGGGACTCCCCCAACTCTTGGGGCTCTACTCTCTGACTTTACACTTTTCCATCTCAATAAACTCTCTTGTTTTACGATTTTCTCATTGTCTGTGAAATTCATTCTTTGGCTTCATAGGACAAGAAGTCTGTCTAAGTCCTACACAAATCTTGTGTTCCAAATTTGGTGTGTCACCAGGAATTGCAGTGTGAACCAGGAACTCTAGAGATTCCACTGACTTCAGAACTTCATCAGAAGTGATCCTGGCTGAGAGACCGTTAATAAGAGCATTGAAGGGTGGTAAAAGAACTAGCATCATCATTTTGCATGGGAAGAAGTTAATAAAGATGCCCTCGGCAATAGGAAAAGTGCCTGGCCTCAAGACCTTAGACCTTCAAAATAACCAAATTCGTAGTGTGCCAGCCCACATCTGGAATCAGCAGATTTGGTCTCTGCCACACTCCTCTTCCTGGAGGCTGACATCTACAAAGGGACTGGAACCCTGGATCTGCTTCTCTACCTCGGAAGCTCACATCTGGAAGTCAACTTGAAGATCCAGCAGAGGCTGTTCACTCTGAGGACTGTCCTGAAACTTTTGCATATGGAATGAAGAGACATGGATGTGTAGGAAGGCAGTTTCTTTTCAATTTCCTATCGTTTGCTAAAACTTTGAAATGTTGTGTTGGCAAGGAATAGAAAGCAGAGGACGTTCATTTTTTTTTCTGAAATAGTTTTTTAAAAGAAGGTAATATTTTAAATAAAGACTACCCTTTTTAAAGACAAAAAATTGAATATGGGTTTAATAAAATATATTATGGTATTTATACCATGGAGTACTATATAACCCTATAAAAGAAAGTAATTTCTTAGAAAGAATGCTGCAATATACTTTTAAACAAAATGTGCCAAATGCACAATCATAAGGAAAGCATGATCCCATGTACAGTCTTTTTAGTAGTAGTAGTAGTAGTAGTAGTAGTAATTTCTGGCGGCACTGGGGTTTGAACTCCTGGCCTCACACTTGCTAGGCAGGCACTGTACCACTTAAGCCATTCCACCAGCGCCCCCCCACCCATGTATAGCCTTTTTAAAACTATTAATCTAGCTGGATGATGGTGGCTCATGCCTGTAAACCTGCTACTCAGGAGGCAGAGATCAGGAGGATCGAGTTTCAAAGCCAACCCAGGCAAATAGTTCATGAGACCCTATCTCAAACCCTTCACAAAAATAGGGCTGGTGGAGTGGCTCAAGGAGAAGGCCATAAGGTTAAGCCCCAATACTGAAAAAAAAAAAAAACCCAACTATGAATATATTAAATATACATAAACTCCAGAAATGTACACCAAACTTCAACCATGCCTATTCATTAAAAGGAGAAAAGGATTAAGGGGAGTGAGGAAAAAAAGGAAACTTTTACTTTTTCTTTTTTATATCTCTGTACTATTTAAACAATGAGCATGAATTTTTTTGCCCAAGTGTTTTCATAAACATACAAAAAGATACAATGTGATCTAACTTAAAATATACAAGCTTGGGCTGGAGGCATGGGGCAAGCTGTATCTTGCCTTCCTACCTATCGCCATGCAGGAATATGGATTGATAAATGTCAGTATTAATTATTTCTGGTTTGTGGATTTATACGTGACATAATTTTTTCTTTTTTGCTTATCCACATTTTAATTTTATAAAAATAATTTATCCTTAGTATAGTGAAATAATTTACATATAAATGGAAGGAAAGAAGATGCTACTATGTAATTTTTAAATAAAGGAATTAGCCAGGTGTTGATGGCTCACTCCTATAATCTTTCTACTTGGGAGGCTGAGAGGGGAGGATCCCTGTTCAAAGCCAAACAAAACAAAAAGCCCACAAGACTCCATTTCAATGGAAAAAAGCTGGGTGGAGTGGCTGTGCACCTGTCATGCCACTAATGGTGGGAAGCATGAAATAGGATTACAGTTCAGACTGACCTGGACAAAAAGTGAGACCCTATCTCCAAAATAACCAGAGCAAATAGGGCTGATGGCATAGCTCAAGTGGTAGAACACCTGTCTAGAAAGTGTGAAGCCCTGAGTTCAAATCCCAGTACTGCCAAAAATAGAGGAGCATACATTGTAAATGTAAATGGGAAAAGAAAATATATGAACAGGAAATCACAAAAGGAGAAGTATAAAATGGCTAATAATCTTAAATGCTCTAAATTCTAAAGCACATACTTTGACATAAAGTCCCCTTATAAGAATATATGCATACTCAATTGTGGGACTATCAAAAATGAGTATCGTAGAAATCTAGGGGCACTACCCAATGAAGGAGCTGCAAATCCTGAATGCAAGAAGAATGTTTCACAATGATTCTGCTATAGAGAAAAATGCAACCTCTTCAAGGGCACCCATTAAACTCCCAAGGAAGCCAGCAGTCATGTTTCTACCCTGCCAGGGATGGCTTCTCTGAGGTCACATCCTTCTCGTAACTACACTTGGAGAAATGCAGAGCAGGTCAGCAGTCCCCAGTGACAATTATCTGAAGTTTGACTTCCTGAGCACTTCTGTTGTCAAACAAACATGTTTTATTTACCATAGGAGAAAAAAGGAAGAAGACATGGAAACAAGAATACAAATTCATTGGAAGAAGAGTATTGAGTTTAAAGAAGAGGGGCACTCGCCCTATACTCCAAATCCCAATCTCGCCTCTTCCCCTCATCCTCTCCATCACTACCTTCCCAAGATCCTTATCATCGAAGAGAAACAGACCCCAGACAGCTCAACTGATGGGGCTCCAACTAATGTGACCTTGAACAGAGAGACAGAATATTGTTTTCATATTTTATTATAAAAGTAATACATGATCTTCATAGAAAAATTAGGAAGAAAATAAAAATCACTGATAATTCCATCACCCTGAAATAATCACTTTTAACATGTTCATATGTTAGTCTACATCATCATTTCTGAGATCATATGCACTTATAAGTGTTCTTATGTAACCTGTAACAGAAGGATTTCCAATGTTGCTACAATCTCTTAATAACAGTAATTTTATTAGCTTTATTGGCTATGTGGATATATAACAGAAGAGTCTCGATGTTGGAAAGTGCTGAGGACTGGAAGGAAGCAGTACAGTCAACCATCAGGGACCACATTGTCTCTTGGTTTCAGGACTCACGTAGGTACTCTAGGAGTCCTTCATAACTGCAACATCCCCTTGACTCCAAGAATTCAGGCCAGAAGACACCAGATCCTCACCTCTGACTCTCTTCCCCAGATCCCGGGACAAGACAAAGGGGATTAGATTTGGTTCTCATAGTCAGGCTCTGTTCCTTCCTCTGGAGCTTCCGGGTGCATGAGAAGTGAATAGGTGATTGTATTCTCAGCCTAGAGAAAGCAGAAATATGCAATGACATCCACAGAGAGGTCTTTAGAAGTCCTGCTGCAGGGAAGAAGGGAGGGGGAGATGGCTAGACTCACTCACCTCCGCTTTGGCAGCCTCCTCAGGATCAGTGGAACCGGCTGTGGGCAAAAACCAGAGCAATCAGCCTGGGCACTGCTGGGGTAGAAGGCCTACATGTGCTTCTGAAGCTGCAAAACCAAAGCCCAAACCACACCTGAAACAAAGACTGCCAGCCTCGACTTGGGCCTGTAGGCCAAGGCTGAGTCAGTATGGCCTCCTTCCCCGACCCTGGGTATCCCTGGCACAGCCATCCCCCATTGGCCACATTGGCAAACAGAAACCTTTGTTTGTGCCATGTTCTTCTCAGACAATTGCTGAAGCAAACCAGGCAGCTTTGAGGATCTGGGATATGGGGAACAGGGGGGAGGTGTTCAGTATCAGAGTGAAATAAAGTCTAGATTTGTGCTGGCCACAGATTTCAGGGAGAGAAGATAGCAGCCATTTCCACATTGGCTGAATGTGGTGCATCCTTGATGGAACTCTGAAGAATCAGGTATTCCATGGCATTAAAAAGAAAGAAAGAGATAGTGAGAAAGAAAGATGAGGGTGAAAGCATAGGAAAAGGAAGACAGAAAAGAGAAGGAATAAGGGAAGGGAGGGAGGGAGGAAGAGAGGAAAGAAGGGAGGGAGAAAAAGATGGAGAAAGGGCGGGAAAAAAAGACAGTACTTTCTCTGATAAAAATAAAAGACACACCAAATTCCCTCATGTTTTTGCCATAAATTCACTTTGCCAGTATGAAAAGCAGCCTCAGTATCTATAAATCAGCATTTCTTAGGAAGTCAGGGAAAATCTAAGACAATGCCCTAGTCTCTTCACTCTCCCTTGGACACAAAGAGACCCTATTTGCCATCTTCCAAATTCTGTGACAAACCAAGCTCAGAATTCCCCTTCTAAAACATTTCTCAACAAATCCCAGCATGTTACTATGCCTTTCAGGAAAGCATCAGCTCCAGTGCCTGGCTGCATAAATGCCTTGTAAAATGTGCTTATGCCAGTGTAGACAGGATCAGAAAAGGTGGCGAGCGCAGTCATGTTTGGATTATTTTACATCTGGTTTGGTTCAAGCCCACATCTCCATGTGACGACGCGCAGCTAGATAAGTGGCATTTTGCTAAAGCTTCTCAAATCTGTTGGCTGGGCTCTGAGTCACACTCCAGCCTCTGAGGTAGAATCCGCCACAGCCTCCTTCCTGCCCTTGTCTGCTGTCGTAGGAGCCCCCAGAGAAGATTCGTTTCCTTTGTACTCTGACTTTAACTTCAGTCAGGAAGTTGCCTGGACTAATCCTACTCCTTTTATACTTCCACCTGGGCCAGGGATTGGATGGTCACTGGTTCTGGAAAAGTCAGGCAGATAAGATCTCCAAGGTCATCTAAGCCAACCCAGCCACCTCAGGAATGACATGTTCAAGTTCCATTATATGATGGAGCACTGTATGATGCCGGCCAAAATGTAATAAACTGACATGAGTGGGCACTCAACCAAGAGATGCTCACAACAATAAAACCCACTCGTGGATCTAGTTTCAAATTTTCTCAAGCTCAAACCTCTTCTTAATAATCTACTTAAAGCTAAGCTCTACCACACTCACCCCTATCTCTCCCCAGGGGCAGATTCCGTAACAAACCTGCTGGGTTTTCCCTGACTCATTGTCCTTTTCTCTTAGACTCCTATCTCTTTAATCCTATTGGTCTCCATTCCACAATTCCTAACACTTGTTCTTTGCCAGCTCTGCCAAATCTCCACAGAAAGATCCAAATATCTCTGATTACTGCTCTGGAAATCTGGAATCCCCAGATTCATAAAAATTTCGGTACTGTCCGAATTGGATGCAGCCCTCCCCTCTCTATCTGGGACCAAGGCTCCTTATCTCATCCCTAGTGAGATTTGTTTTAGCCCGAGGAGTTAGACTCAGAACTGACCAAGAATTTGAGCCCCTGCCTTCCTCCCTCTACTCCCTCCCTCTTCTGTGCACCAGCTGAACTCATACAAGCTGCTTCTTGCAGGCTCTAATTCATGCAGCAGCCCTGGGTGGGGTACCATAAAGCCCCCAGAGGGCAAACTGTACTCACCTGGTTCCTCGGGGAGGGTCTCTCCCATTTCCCTGTGCTCAGGGTTTCCTGAGAAAGCTAGGAGGGGCACATAGGAGGTTAGTAGGATTATGAGGTGGGGCTGACTCCTCAGGACCAAGCATCAGGGGCAGGATTGAGTTAGAACCAACAGAGCCTTCACTCACTCACAGAGGCAACTCCTCTCCTCCCCACTCCCCAGTTCCCCAGCCTAAGAACAGCTCCAATGGTTAAGGTAAAAGGGCTGGTTCAGCCTCATTCATTGCCATAAAACAACAAACCCTTGGGGGCTCTAAAGAATGTCAGAAAGTTCACTCCACTGCATCTTTCTTAGGCTTGCTCTGCTTTTTAAAAGTGCGGCTTATTTATCTCAGTATCATAGTATTGAAATGTTTATTTGTATCAATAACTGAGCTCCTGCTTCTGATCTAATTACAATGTGCCTGTGAGTTGTTAGTAGTATTATTCTCTCTTTCTCAGTGTTCTATTGCCCTCTCTTTGCTCCTTCTTTGACCCCCTACCATCTTACCCACAATGTTCCTCGTTTCCATGTGTTGGCCCCTATTCTGAGCATGTTCTGCCAGTCCTCTTTGCCTAATTACCCCAAGCATCACCTCCTCCATAGTAGGAATACCTCATATTTGTATGCTTTTTACTATCTACTAGGCACTGACATAAGAGCTTCAGCCTCATTCATTGTCATAACAATCCTACAAGGTAAGTCTTATCAGTGGCCCTGCTCTCCAGGTGGGGAAAATGGGGCAGAGAGGTTGAATAATTCACCCAAGTTCATATAGCTAGTGAGCTAGGCACTAAGATTTGAATCTAGGCATTCTGGCCCCACTACCTGTGCTTCAGTCACTACATCACTCTGCCTCCCCATGAAACTGCCTCTAGTTGACCCAGCCCAGGCTGGCTGCTATAGTGTGGATCTTGAGTGTTCTCCAAAGTCCCATGTGTTAAATGCTTGGTCATCAGGGTGGTAGTACTGGGAGATGGTGGAACCCTTAAGAAGAATCTAATGAGAGGTCTGCAGGTCTTTGGAACATGCCCTTAAAAGGGACTATGGGATCCCTGCTCTGTTCCTTGCTATCTTTGCTCTCTGGCCATAAGTTGAGCAATTTTGCCCCTACCATGTGCTCCCATCAGGATGTGCTGCTTCATCATAAGCCCAAAGCAACAGGGTCAACCAATCATGCACTGGAATGTCCAAAACTGAGCCAAAATAACCTTTTTCTCTTTATAAGCTGATTATCTGAGACACTTTGTTATAGTAACAGAAAGTGGGTTAACACACTGGGTTATGGAGCCTCCCCTATATCAGTAACAAAGGCTTTCCATTTCTCTATCATTGCTTTTATCCTCTTATGATTATCTATTTGTACTTCTGCCTTTCTCACAATTCTGAGAACAGAAACTAGACTTATTTATCTTTATATCATCCACAGTGTTTTGCACAGTGCTTAACATATAAGCAAGTTTGTTTAAGACTTGTTGAGGGCTGGTAGAGCACCTGCCTAGCAAGCATGAGGCCCTGAGTTCAAATCCCAGTACCACCAAAAACCAAAACACCCAAAACAACAGCAAAAAGACTTGTTGAATGGATGAATGAATGAATGGATGGATGGCTAATGATGGAGCTATAGTGAACCCTAAAGATTCTCTAGCCCAAAGAAGAGGTTTTGGCAAGTCTGGGGTTAGGCCTCAGTCAAGTAGAAACTGTTAACAAGAAGGACCAAAGAGAGCCACAAACCTGGAGTCCACTTTCGCTTGAGGTAAGATAAGGCTGCTATGGTGACGATGATGACCACAACAGCAATCCCAGTGACCACAGCCACAATCGTCCATACCAATGAAGAGTCACTTGACTTGGACCCTGGAGGAGAAAAACCTAAGGACAAATAATAAAGTACTCCCTCTCTCTGACTCACTTCTACCCCCCACCCTCCAATGCTATGCCCTAGTGCTTGTTAGCTGAAGCTGCCCTGTATCTGGGTTGCTCACAGGTGTAATACTCACTTCACCCTACAATGTTGTCTATCCACAGTGTTTTGTGGCTAGACTTGCCTCCCCTATACCAACTGACTGCACCAAACTAATAAAGGCACACTGGTGAGTGTGTAGAAGCAGAGGGACGACCCTTGGGGGTAGTGAGGAAGATGGGCCTGAAACCTCTCAGAGTTGGAGGAATTACTACTGTCCAGAACATGCCAAATTTTCAAGAGTGAACATGAATCATGAAGAAATAAGGTAAACCTCAGTTCTTAGGAATGCCCAGGAGTTGAGGGAACCTCTGTACCAATGAGGGAGCTCTGTTTTACTATTGTCCTTAGTATTGGGTCTACATTTCAAGTGGATGACAGCCTTGTGAACCCATCACCTGGAAGCTGAAGGATCTGAGCTCTGGCCCCTGTCCTGTCCACTGGTCAATACTTGGCAAGGCCTCCAAAACTCTCTTTGCTCTAGTGCCCAGTTTTGCTGCTGTGTATTGCTTGGATCTCCCTATAGGCCTACATGACCTTAGCCCTTGTCTATTCCCTCTTCTTCCCTCCCCTACATCTTGACAAAGTTCTCATACCTTGGACAGTGATGGCCACAGACTGTGATGTATATGACATCTTTCCTATATTTGCTTTGCAGTAGTAATCACCACTGTGACTGTGGTTTGCTTTTGGAATGGACAAGTTGCCACTGAAATGGGAAAACTTCTTTGATTTTCCATTCTGGTAGAATATAATCTTGTTCAGAAGGTTGTTCTTCCAGCTGTGGCACCTCAGCAAGATGGTTTCCCCCTCTTGAAACACTAGTTGAGGGGTCTGGAGCAGCAGCCAGTCTGAAAGACATGAAAGGACTACAGGATCCAGAAGGTCTTGGCACAACTCTGAGACTCAAACCATCCTTACTGGTGGGACATAACATGCAGAGAGAAGAGCTGAAGTTTGGGATCAAGCAATCTCAATCTCTAACTCTGGCTCCATTCGTTTATGACCTCTGAAATCTTGGGGAAGGAATGTAACTCCTTCAGGGTCTCAGTTTCCCATCTGTGAAAATGGGCATGATAAGACAATGCATCTACAGTAGTTCCTGGCACACAGCAGGAGTTCAAGATATGCTCATCTGCTCTGTCCTCTCCTTGGAGAAGGCCACTGCAGCCCTGTCCTGTCAGAAAGAATACAAAGAGACCCTGAGATGCAAATTTTCTCTGGGGGAATGGAGGGAGAAAGCCAGTCTGACTGAGGAGAGTGCATGTGAAGGGGACATAGCAGAGATGCATATTTTGGGGGTACTAGAAATCTTGAACCTCCAACAAATGTTGGCTTACTTTATGAATATTAATAAAAGTGGAACTTCAGTTCAGCAGAGTCTTCGTCTAAGACCTCAGTATCACAAGTTAAGTCATTAGCTTGCTGTATACTTTTGAGGAAAATATGGGAATCAAGTGAGGGAACTAAGTAAAGAGTTGTAATAACAGTAGTTACCATAGTCACATGATAACTTTTCTTTATGGGAAGCCTATTTTTTGCCATGAGCTTTGTAAAATCACTGATCTGTTTAGCAAATATTTATTAAGCCCTGGCCTGTCTCAGGAGCTGCAAATGCAGAGAAGGAGGAGACATAATTTTCACCATGAGTTGCCCACAGGCTGGGGAAAGAGAAAGACAGACAGAGACATCCAGCACCATGAGAGTTTGGAGATAGGGCATAGAGAACTTTGCACAGCTTTCCCCGAACTCCATGAGGGACGGAGGCATTGACATCCCAGTTCAGCAGTTGAGAAAACTGAGACTCAAGGGTTAAATGAACTCATCATATGTTTATGGCTAGTAGTTTCAAAGACTAGGATTCAGTTGTTGTCACTCTGTGGGTTTTTGGCTCTTCCGTGAAAATAGAAGAGTTTTTATGAAGTAGGGACTTCCTTCTGCTTCTGTCACACTCAACTGCCTGTCTGTGGCCTTTGAACCCTCTTGCTCAATCAGGACTGAGGCAAAAGCAACTATTCACATATGCTGAGGAACTTCTTAGGAATTTGTAACCCCTACCATCACACATGCTAAGCAAAGGGGTGGGTGAAAAAGGAAACGAGTGGCCAAAAACCAGGCAAGCCTCTGCAGTGTAAGCAGATCCCCTCTCCTGGTCCCCCAGCCCCTTCTTGGGTCTTCCAAATACTGACCAGATATCACACCCAGATGTACAGGGTCGCTGAGGCTGGTCTGGATCATCTGGCACCTGTACTCCCCGCTGTCATTGATCTTGGCCTTAAACTCATAGCTGGGCTGGACCTGGGTTGGGATTGGACTACCATTGTGGAACCACTGGGTGGAATGGTTCCAAAGGTCGTGGGACCCTTGGCACCTCAGTGTCACGCTGTCTTCCTGGAGCACCTGGATCCATGGAGGCTCAAGTTTCACCACAGCCTTCGGGAGAGCTGCTGAGGGTTGGATAGAGAAGGCAGCATGAAGAAAAGGACCCTCAAGAGCTTAAGAAGGCCCTGAATCTCTGACAAAGAAGCCCTTGTGTTCCTCTTGGGGGCACCAAGAGTGGAACCAGGCCCAGAAGACTTCTGCAACTGAAAGCAATTCCTCTTCCTTATATATCCCACCTCAAGACCCCAAGGAACTCTCATGGAGTACAATTGATCCTCAGCGGGACAGGGCAAAAGAGAAGAGAGAGAGGGGATGGGAGTAAGAGAATCACCAGAAATTACATGCCCCCAAAATAAATATCCTAACAGTTCCTTTAGTTCTCTCTCTCTCTCTCTCTCTCTCTCTCTCTCTCTCTCTCTCAATCAAAAGGATTGGAGCACCTGTGCACCATGGCTGCCTACCACCTGCTTCCCTGGGGGAGAGGGGCAGGGAATGTTCTGGAAGCAATGACCCTGTTCTGGTCCTGACCTGGTACTGGGCTTGATTGCTGGTGCATTGAGAGCACCTCTAGACAGGGCACTTGAAGAAGAGAGAGGCAGCAGATGGGAGAGGGAAGGGACGGAGTAAAGTACTTACCACTTGTCCCAGTCACAAGAGCTGTAAGAAGAAGAAGAAAAAAAAAAAAGCAAGGATCAGAGCCGGGGCCTGAACCTCCACACTGAGACATGTTTGCCCAGTCCAGAGTCTCCTTCACCCATATGGCCCAATGGCTATCCCCTGGGACTGCCCGGATGAGGTGCATTTTCAAAGACATTGGGAGCTCCTTCCCCAATAACAAAAAAAAGATGAAATAAAACCCTCTTCCATCTGTGTTGTAACATTTGTTTGACTTAGCACTATTGATTGATTAAAGTAACAATGTCCCTGGAAAGTTGTCTGTTGGACTTTATATGATTTATCCTTTAGCATGAATGGTTTTTTACCAGAGTCTATCCTTAGAGCAGGAGTTTTTCTTTTGAGGGGAGGAAGTAGAGATTATACAGGTGGTCCATGATCATTGTAGAAAAATAGAAAATACATATGACAAAAATAATATCACCTTGGCATTTGTCCTGTTGGCTTTTCCCCACGAAAATATATACAAATAATATTTAAAAACAGATATATATAAATGGCAGGTGAGGATATACTATTAAAAAGTGCTCCCCAGCTGTAGGCATGGCTCAACTGGTAAAGTGCCTGCATAGCAAGCACAAGGCCCTGAGTTCAAATCCCAGTATTGCCAGAAAAAAAAAAGTACTCTCCAGCCTGATTTTTTACTGAGCAATACAGGTCTAGTAGATGAATCTGCTTCTCTATGCTATCATTTTTAACACCTGCACTCTATTCTAGTATTTGGCTCTCCTGTGATTTATTTCACATCCCAATTGCTTGACATTAGGTTTTCCAGAATTTTGTTGTTAAGCAAATCCGATAGGAGGAGACTAGCAAGGGACTCCAGCTCTGGGGCTTTGTTGCGGGGGCAGGTGGAATGGTACTGAGTGAAGGACAAAACGTCCTCAGTGAAGGCAAAGCATGTGACAGGAAGAGCCAGCAAAGCTGAGAGCAAGAGTGGAGATGTGTGGGGGCCATTATTGATTGTGTAAAGAATCAAAACTGCTCCTTAGATGAATTACAGCCAGATGTGTGTGTTCATGTGTATGTGTGTATATGTGTTCATCAGTTGACAGGGTTTTCTCTTGTATTTGGGTGAGAGAAAGTCAGAGGCTTCCAAATCTGTGTATATTTTCACAGACAAAAGTATGGAAAGAAACTGAAGTGGGAACAAAGGGTAAGAAGGGGACACTGTGGAGAGTGTTGGTCTGAAAATCTAGAGAACTGGATTTTGGTCCTGATTTCACCACATCCCAATATGTATGCTTAGACAATTCATTCCATCCCTTTCAATCTGGCATTAATCAACAAACCTGCATTGACTTCCTGCTGCCTTACAGTTCATTCTCAATCTACTTAAAGCAAAAGATACAAGTCCCTGCCCCCACTGAAGCCAACAGTGTAATGGTGGAGATAAGCATATGTGCAATCTATGCAAAAGAGTGTTCTTAATACTATAAAGGCTCAGAGGACGAAAAGATCCTAGAGCTCTGTGTTTAGCATAATTTAAGGTTTAAGGTTGGTAAGGAGGGACACCCTATGGAGAAGGTGGCATTCATGGAATTTCAAGGATTGATGGGATTTTGACAGAAAGGGAAGAGCTATTCCATGGGAAGGACTGGCAGGGACTTGTCAATATTTCCAGAAAGCTGCTGCCCAGCTTCGCTTGATTTCTTGGTTTCTGCTAAAGCACTCCCAATAATCAGGAACAAAGCTGAAAATGGAGGTAGAAGCCAGATTGTGGAGGGCTCCAAATGCCAAATCATGTGAAGGTCAATAAGAACAGAGACTGAGCTTAAATGTTGATTCACCACTGCTATGTGACACTGCTTCAGTGTCCTTGATTGTAAATGACAGCGATGTTCACTTCATAGGTTTGTTATAAGGATTAAATGAGGTAATCTAGATAAGGCATTGTGTGTGCTCTCTAACACATCTTAGTAAGTTTTAAATAAATATAAACTAACTTTTAAAATTTGCTCTTTAGTTCCCTGAACAATAGGAAGTCACTTGAAATGTTCTTGTTAGAGCTGAAAGTGCTGTGTCAGATTAATTGGAACAAGGGAAGTACCAGAGATTAGTTAAGAAAAAGATGACTGAAGTGATCCAGAATACTTGTGGATGACCTGTCCAAGATCTGGCTCCTTCCTTCCTTGACCTGCTCATCTCCAGTGAACTTTCTTTCATACAACTTAGCTACATGTGCCCATGTTATACTCAAGGCCTTTTCATTACTATGAACCGTATCAACTAAAAAATAAATCACAAAATCAAACACTCCATGATTCAATCACAACTTCCTCTTCTTCCATTTCATCTGCTCAAGTACAACTTCCATAATCATCTTTGATTACCACCACATTTTTTATTTTTTTGTGGTACTGGGGCTTGAACTCAGGGCCTTCACCTTGAGCCCCTCCACCTGCCCAATTTTTTGTGAAGGGTTTTTTGAGATAAGAGTCTTGCAAACTATTTGGCTGGGCTGGCTTCAAACCACAATCCTCCTGATCTCTTCCTCTTGCATAGCTAGGATTATAGGCATGAGCTACCAGTGCCCAGTGATCACCACCGCTTTTAACATAACATCCCTAAGTCCACATTTGCCTTCATCCCCCCCTATCTAGCTTAGAATAAATGATTCATCATTACAATTACCTCACTGAAAATCCCCTTAACTTCTTTGCCCTTCTCTGTCTCCAACAATTGCAACTGTATTCTCCATGCCCTTACTTGTCCATCTGTATTGACAGTAGGAAATAAAGAGGGTACAGATATGAGAAAAATTTAAGAGGCAGAACTGAGAAAACTTGATGAGATGTTGGGTTGGCCAGGAAAAAAGGTGGCTATACTCATGCAAATATAAATATTAGAAGGATAGGAGCACTTATAAGGGAAAGATTATAAATTGGACTTTGAATATATTTTGTTTCTGAGCTGGCAAATCTATTTGGAGGTATCCAATCATTAGGAAGAAATATGAAATTATAATGAGATGAGCAAGAGAAATAGGTTTAGGGGTTATTGTCATAGAAGTAATAGCTAAAAACCTGAGTATGAAAGATTGATAAGGAACACAGTAAATTGAAAGAGTGGTAAAAAGGAAGAGGAAGACAAAAAATTAGAAAGAGATGAGAAAAGGAGAGAGAAGTCACTAATCATGTATTCATTCTACATCCAACAAATAGTAAGGAAAACTGTATTCATACCCAATGTACTCATGTGAAGGAGGCAATGACCATGTACTTTGGGTAACGAAACTGTCTATTGTGAATCCTAGAACAGCGCTTGACATAGAACTTACATAGGTTTAAAAAGGCAGTTTGAGAATCAGCAGAAGCAAAGGTGTTGAAAACAAAGTGCAATGTGTGCTTTGTCTGTCCACAGTAGAAGGTCCATTTGGGGTGCAATGGGAACATGCACCACAATGATGGAATTAGAAGCTTTTCAGTAGGCAATAGTCTAGCACTGATGGCATTTATGAAGTGCAGTGATGGCCATAGCTGTACTTGAAGACACCATGGTCTCAGTCTGCAGCATGGATGGAAGTCAGGAGTGTTCAAGAGACAATCAAAGGGTGTGGTAAAATTGAATCAAGTGGTGAAGACCTGAATATTGAGGCCTGAAAAAGAATAGAAAAGTGGATTTAACCAAATCCCCAAAGAAGAAAATACCAAGATGACTGGCACAGTGGGTGACATCCTTAGCGCAAGTGAAGAAGCACATGCCTCTTTAGGGCTGAGCCTCCCACACAAAACTGAGGTGGTTCAGTGCTCACTTTACACTCTGTTCTACTTGAATCCCTCATGGGGAAATGCTCTCTCCTCCTTACCTCTGCCTCCAGTAGCCCTGTGTCAATTCAGCATTGAAGGATGAGGTCTCTTGGAGCTGGCCAGAATCACTATGAGTCATAGCAAGTAACTATGAGGAGTAGCTATATGCCTTTCTCTGAGAGGTAATGGTGGAAGCCCCAAGAATTGAGCTTGAGGAGATGGTCTTGATGTAAGGCTCCCCTACTAGACTTCTCCCAGACTCTTCCATCAGCCACCCAGCACTATCAGTTCCTAGCCCCTGGCTTGCAGCTGAGAACATGACCAGAAAATCATCCCCCATCTTGGCCAAAGAACCTGGATTTCTTGCTGATCAGAGCCACTACCCAACCCCAAGGTCTGCACAGTCTGAGGTATTAGTGATTTCTCTAGTCCCTCAACTGAATTGTCCAGGTGTGTGAACTCTCTGACACCCAGTCCCCTCTGTGCTTCTGACCAGTGGGGTCTCCTTATACAGAAAGAGAATGAGCTTCTGCTGCACAGAGTAGCTTCAGAGGCACAGAAAATGGCCAAGGATACCCCCCTCTAAAACATCTTAAGGCTTCCTCCCACCTTTGTCTAAGTTATCACTAGCCACATTGCCTAAGATTTGGTCCCATGTGAATCACAAATTCAAAGGGAAACAAAGTGACCATTCATTTATCACTCAAGTCTAAGTCACTAAACTTTCCTCAGAGCAGATTCTGATATGGGGGGTGGCAGAGCATCAGGTGGCCGGCTGGATGCCCAGTGAAGTTGGGTAAGAGACAATTAAAAAAAAAAAAAAAACTCTGCCAATGTTGATTTTTGAAGGCAGCAAGGTTGTCAAGAGTTCTTCATTAGCCTGCCTTCACACTCCTGGTTTTCCCAACATGCTTTCCATGATACCCTAATCCTTGCCCAAGCTGAATCCCAACCCAGCTATCCCTGCTCCTGCTTCCTTCCTGGGGGCCCTGACTCACCCAGACACAGCACAGCTGTCCACAGTAGCATGTGGCCCAAAGTCTGTGAGAACTTGAAGTCAGCCCAGTCACTCTCAATGGCAGGCAGCAGTAGGAATGAGAGGATTCCCATCACGCCTGGAGCAAGCTGGCTCCAACTGCACGCAGGCACGGGCTACTGTCCAGACTTGACAGATTCTACACAGAGGACAAACAAATTCTGGAGTCCAAATGAGGAAGTGAAAAGAAACGGTCTGTTTAATCATAGGCTCCTCCCTTCCCACCCTCTTTCCTCTCTGTTCCCTGCTAGAAGATTCAGAGCTTCGCAGAATCAGTTTGGCTCAGCTCAAGTCACAGATGTTTAATACATTGGAAAACAACTTCCCTCTTCTCTGAGGTAATAGGTAGCCTGGGCCTCTGGGATAAAGGGAAATGGTCACATTTCCCTCAGGTCAGAATTTCTTATCTCCGTCTCTATCCTCCTTAGAAAAGGTAATAGAAGACAGTGGACGGGCAGCCTTCTGGTACTTCTTCCATCTGGAGACCCAGACTCTGGAATCTGACTCTCCTTGAAATTGGGCATAGGGGCTTGAGACTACCCACCCTCATGTGATTTTCTCTGTCGTCATAATGCCCAACTCACTTTTGGATTGTGGAATATGAACAAGAGGCATGTCAGAGTACCAATAAGATGACTTTTATTTCCTTCTTTCACTCACTCTTTTATTCATTTATTTATTCATTAAGTAAATGAATATCTCAATAAGTATCTATTGAACACCAATCTTGTTTCTTTATCCTGGTCATTTTTCTTATCACCACTCTTACCACCATGGCGTGGTGAGACAACATGGGCCTTGCAGCTGTAAGTTCAAGTCTGAATACCAGTTGAAAAACAAAAAAGTGGACTGGGGCATAGCTCAAGTGGTAGAGCTCTTGTGCAAGGTGTCCCCAAAAAAGACTCCCACACATTGGCAAATATTCCCTGGAGGGCAAAATTGCCCCTGGTTGAGAACCACTGCACTCAAGTTTTTTGGAAAATAACAGAGAATGTGAGTGCTAACAGAGTGCTTCATACATCATAGGTGTACAATAGATGCTATTTTTTTTCTTGCCTTCTATTACCCTCATCAATATTTGTTCTCCCTCAACATCCCCATAGCATGAGATATTCTGGAATCTGTCTTCGGCCCTCTCCTTGGGCCTCTTTCCCAAGTGCCCTTTCAGGAAGCAAGCTGTAATACCTCAAGGAAATGACATTGTAAAATTTTCTTTCACTCTGTGGTCTTCAGAAACCTTCAAAAGCTCCAGCCTCTCTAACACACGCTTTTATTATTGACATCATCCTAGCCCCCCATCCCCTCCAACCCTTACCTGGTTTTTAACCAGTGATGAGAAAGCAATTGGCTGACATCAATCCTTTTAAAGTATCATTAGAAATAAAAAGATAAGAATAATATATAGTTAGGACAATAAGAAAACAAAATTAATAATTACTGTGTAAGCATATAAATGCTTATTCCAGAGGAAGCACTAGACTTATCTCTTAATTTTTACAATCCCAGAAGATAAATATTATCATTTTTGCTTACATATGAACAAAGTTAGCTGCAGAGAAGTTAAAATGGTTTATCCAAAGCTAGATGGTTAGTAAGCAATGTAGTCAGAATATGAAACCAGGTCTATCTGATGTTAAAGATTTCATGTTTTCCAGGGCTGGCAGAGTGGCTCAAATGGTAGAACACCTGCCTAGCAAGTGTAGTAAGTGTGAGGTCCTAAGTTCAACCCCCAGTACAGTAAAAAAAAAAAAAAAAGATTTCATGTTTTCTACATTTGAGTGGCTTTCCAAACTGTGCAGAAACCACCTACACACCTTGTGTGAGTTGCAGGTGCACTGAACCACCAAGTGGTCCTCTGGCCTGGGGATGGCCTGACAGTACACTAGCTGTGAGTAGTCTCATTTGTTTACAACTTTACACGTGTGGTTTTCTCTGAGCGCCACGGTGAGAAAATGGTCAGAAATCTGTGCATATCGCACATGCTACTTTCCTGAATTGTCTCAAGCCCCAATTACCATTACCAGCCATTTCACTGAGCTGAAAGACTCAGACATCATTTTTTGGACAAATGGTAGGTAGGGCATTTCTAGGGACACTAAACAGAAACTGAAATAGGAGTTTCTTTCCCATCACAGCCAGAAAGGCACAAAATACAAGATGTTTATACAAGAAAATGGTTACGAATATAGGGACATGTGATTGAAAACTGAAATATGCCAATCAGAAAGGAGAATTCTTTGAAAGGAGCAGCTTGAAATAAAATGTGTATTTCTGGCAATGGAAAAGGTATGAGTAATTCAAAAATCACAAAATCATCATTAAGACCATGGGCTTTAGAGAAAGACCCAGATCAAAAGCCTCCATCTCTGGGGTGGGGGGGGGGCGTTGGCGGAATGGCTTAAGTGGTAGGGTGCCTGTCTAGTAAGCATGAGGCCTTGAGTTCAAACCCCAGTATAACCAAAAAAAAAAAAACCCAAAAACTTCATCCCTTACTAGATGTACAATCTTGGATGTAATTATTCACCCTTTCTAAGCTCTGTTGCCTCACATGTTAAATGAATATTACACTTTTTTAAAAGATTAAATTAGTAGTTACTTTGTAATGTTGTGATGATGAAACGAGAAAAATCCATGAATACAATTTCACTCAAATTGACATAAATTGTCTTTATTATTGTATCATTGAAGACTAGCAAAGTCTAGCTCAAGGCTTCCAGTGGGGACTGATATTTATAGACCCACTTGGAAAGGGCAGATAAATGCTAGAAACTCAAATGGCTCCAACTCTAGACATGCTCAGATTCCAGCCACGTGGTTCAGAAGTACATTGTTTTCCCTGCACTCTGCTTGGTTATATTTGTTTCTCTTCCTCTTAATGTCCTGGGTTCCTTTCAGTGGATCCCTGTGATTGCTTTATCAGTCCCCACTAGATTTCCTGGTTTTAGCCACTTCCCCCATGAATATGCCACCTCAGAGAAGGAGGAAGTCTGAGAGGCAGCCACGAAGGGAGAAAAAAGGAGAAAGAATGGTTGAGTTGAGGATGCTCTGGTGTGAGAGGTTCAGCTGGATCCAGGCACCCACATCACCAGGCTAGCCAGGAAACTTCATCAGGGAACTCTGTTCTTTATGTTAAAACTGTTGTCATCTCTTACAACCTTTTAGAAATGCAAATGCCCTAGGCTTTGTGGATCATTGACTCCAGAATGTAAATTTGTTGACCATTTTTCACCAGAGCAGAAGCTTGCTGAAGAGTTCTGATGAGACGGAAAAGAGCACTAATATTGTAGGAGGGCTATTCTGAGGAAGCCTCGACTTAAGTTAGAAAGGAAGAGATGAGGTCTGATTTTAGGCCTGGCTATACCACTGTATGACCTTGAGCAAGGTACTGCCTCTCTGGACCTCAGGAGAGTGAGGGAGATGGACTGGATGCTCTTTATTAGACATGTCTTTTGCAATTTTTTTTTTTTGAGAGAGAAAGTCTCACTATGTGGCCTATACTGGCCTTGACTCCTGCCTCTGCCTTCTGAGTAGTGGGTTACAGACTTGTACCACCATGCCCAGACGTCCACTCCATGGCTTGTCTTCTCATTCCTTTGACAGTGACTTTTTGTTAAAGCAGAAGTTTCTAACTTTAATAAAGTCCAGTATTTTGATTATGTCTCTCCTAGATTACTTCTTTCTTCTGGTGTTGTATCTAAGAAGTTGTCATCATGTCTGTTTTCCTGTGTTATCATCTAGAATTTTTACAACTTGCATTTTTACATGTATCTTTTGATGCATTTTGAGTTAGTTTTTGTGAAAGGTATAGTATACATATCTAGACTCATTTTTTGGCATGTATATGTCCAGTTGTTCTAGCACCATTTGTTGAAAAGACTGTCTTTTCTCCATTGTATTGCATTTGCTTCTTTGTCAAAGATCAGTTGACAAAAACTCCATAGGTCTACTTTTGGGCTATTTTTCCATAGGTCTGCTTGTCCATTTCTTTTTTTTTTTTTTTTTTTTTTGCCAATAACTGTATAGTCTTTAAGAATTCTTCCTGAGGCAAATAGTTCATGAGATCCTATCTGGAAAAAAAAAATCCATCACAAAAAAGGGCTGATGGAGTGGCTCAAGTGGTAGAGCACCTGCCTAGCATGTGTAAGGCCCTGAGTCCAAACCCTAGTGCTGCCAAAAAGAAGAAAAGAATTTTCCTTGCAGGACTCTGGCTATTAGCTCAGTGATTTGATACCAAAAATTCTTCTTGGCTCTACCCACCATATTCTTACATGTATAAATCTGGTTATTTTTTTCATTTTGTACTTGGCCATTTTGACCAGTGTGGTAGACACAGTTATGAAAAACAACCACATTAAAATATCTTAATTAGAACCACAAGCAAGAGCAAGATAATATGTAACTCTTGAACCCATCAGAGTTGCTAAGGTAGTGGGGCAAGCAACTATACTGAAATCTAAAGAAAGATGGGTATTTCCAAGGAGAGCTAGAATGTGAGCTTGAGTTCACCAATCACAGAGCCTGGGAGGAAGATAGGGCTACATACAAATGGATTTATAGAATTCAGCTAAAACATTCACTAAATTGCTAAAAACCAGCGTAGCCAAGAACTGAGAGCTAATGATACAAACTAAGTTCATCCTATTCTTGGGTCTCCTCCATGGACCTCCATCATGAAAAGATTGTGTGGGCAGGTCAAGACCAGAGAATGCCTCCCTAGTGGTGCATGCCTACATGATGGGAATAACTGCCACTGTGGGAAAGGCATGAAGCCTACCTGCACCCTTTCTCCTCAGGTTCAAAGCCTTAATCACAGGAGAAAGGTCCAGGGCACAGGCAAAAGCCCCATGATGTGAGGAGGGAGGAAACAGGGGGAAAAAAAAAACCAAAAAAACATCTCAACTCTGGGGAAGGAGCCAAAATTATTCCAGGCTCAGACCATTAGAGATCTACCATTGAGGGAGATGGTAGCTCACTGAAGAGGAACAGAGGGCCTTGCCTAAGAGTGGGGCAGGTCTAGGACAACAGAAATGACTGCACCTCTCAAGCTAGCAAGTACGGAGTGAGAAGCAATAGTACTTTAGCGCTCAAATGTACAGGCACATAAGGAAGGACTAAAGTTGAGGGTAGAGCAGGAACACTGACAA